ATTAGGGCCGCAACATGTCTCTCTGTAATCTCATCCGAATTCCTGAGAAGAGGTGGATGAGAATGCGTTTGTTTCCCCAGGGAAAGACATACGGAGAAGGTTCCCAGCAGGGATCCTGTAACAGGACTACTTCCTCCTTCCTAATATTCTGCAAAGAAAACTTGCAAGATGTTGTTGCTGAACCACAATAACACAGTCAAAAAACGGACCCACCCATTGAGTTAGTGTGAGTGGAATCTGTCCTTCTGGAACTGCCAGATGGAGATTGGGAAAAAAAAAAAGTTCTTTACTAATTATGGCCAAGATTCCTTGGTACTTGGTGCCAACGCCAGGATTTTAGCCCAGATGTCCTAGCCAAATTCAAGGTGGGTTAAGTCTGCCAAACCTATCAAAAGGAAAAAAGGGCCTCTTCTGTTGCCCTGATTGGAATCTGAAGAGGTCACTCTTGAAATTCTTGTGTAGTACCATCAGTCAATATGGTTTCCCTTAAAAGTGCATTGTAGCTCAAATGCTGATTTAAAGCATATGGATTCTTTGAGTTCTATCTACATGGGAAACATACACTACACATATTAAAAATATATAAGATGCTATAATAACTTAAAGCCTCCCTAAATAAAAATGTTTTTAAAAATAATTTCATATCCAGGGTGATCCTGCCACTGCTTTCCAAATAAGATTTAGGAGACCTCCCCAGCCAGTTTGGCTCAGTGGATAGAGTGTTGGCCTGTGGACTGAAGAGTGTCCTGGGTTCATTTCTGGTCAAGGGCACATGCCCGGGTTGCAGGCTCGATCCCCAGTGTGAGGCGTGCAGGAGGCAGCCAATCAATGATTCTCTCTCATCATTGATGTTTCTCTCTCTCTCTCTCTCTCCCTCTCCCTTCCTCTCTGAAATCAATAAAAATATATTTTTTTAAAAAAGATTTAGGAGACCAACATGAAGGTTTATATTAAACATAAATTTTTGAACCAGGAAACTTTTGAGACTGAAAAAGGAAGACTTGGTAGCCAGGAGCACAATTCCAGGAAAAAGCTATATGTATGTGCAAATATCAGTTATAAGGCCTCCCAGGGTTGAGCAAAGATCCTGCACACAAATAGGAGAAAGCATACACCCAAAAGCAAGTCTGAACATCAAGTACTGGAGATTCCACTGCCAACATATTCTGTGCAAGGCTTAGCATAACATAATCTCGAGTTCAGTTTCTAGCTCTGTATTCACTGGCTATATGGCCTTTTAGTAAGTTAGTAAAGTTCTTTGAACCTCAGTTTTCCTATCTTAAACTCTTCATCAAAATCATGGCATGATTCTGTACCTTTCGCTATATTAATAAATACATATTTAGAACTACAACCAATATGATGTTATCTGCCCCCTCCCACGCCTCCACCTCAGGACCTTTGCACTTGCTGTTCCCTCTTCTTAGTATGCTCTTCCCTCTTGGATCTATATTCCTCACTTCCTCCAGATTTCTACTCAAAAGTCACATTCTCAACAATGTCTCCTCTGACCACCCTATCTAAAACTTCTATTACCCTAATTTTTCTCCCCAAAACTTAATATTCCCCCCTCCCTGTTTTCTTACCATGTAACACCACTATAACTTTTGCTAATATGGTTATTGTCTGCCTCCCCTACTTGAAGGGGGAGTTCAAAGAAAAGAGGGATTTCTGTCTGTTTTATTCACTGCTGTATCACCAGTTCCCAGAACGGCATCTGGCACACAGTAGGTGCTCAATAAAAAATCTGTTGAGGAAGAGAATTAATGACACCTTACAGACAGGTAAACCTTAGCCCCTCAAGCTGCCTTTGGGGAGAATATCACAACACTTCAAAAATACTATAAAGCTACCCTAGCCTGTGTGGCTCAGTGGATAGAGCATCGGCCTGCTGACCGTAAGGTCCTGGGTTCGATTCCGGTCAGGGGCACATGCCCGGGTTGTGGGCTCCATCTCCAGTAGGGGGTGTGCAGGAGGCAGTCGATCTACGGTTCTCTCTCATCATTGATGTTTCTATCTCTCCCTCTTCCTTCCTCTCTGAAATCAATTAAAATATATATTTTTAAAAAAATACTGTAAAGGAGAACAACAACAGGCTTGCAAGGAATAACACTGTCCATTCTTTTATCATAGAGAAAAAGACACTCTACCTCCCATCTCTCCTGTACAAGGAAGGGATTAAAGAAGCCGGTAAATTGGATAAAATGGGACGCTATATGCAGTGAAGTTAACTTTAGCTAACACTACACAGATAAGATTTTCTTTTAATGTTAATAGATAATAAGCCATTTTTCTGTGATTTTACAACATCACCTTCTGGATATGTTTTTTTCTCTTTAGCTTTGACTTCTATAGAACCAGTCTTGAAACTTATGGACTTCATATTTTCAATTAACTAAATAACAAATATTTACTGAACACATGGGACTCTGCAAAATCCTGTAGAGCAGTGGTTCTCAACCTTCCTAATGCTGCGACCCTTTAATACAGTTCCTCATGTTGTGGTGACCCCCAAACATAAAATTATTTTCGTTGCTATTTCATAACTGTAATGTTGCTACTGTTATGAATCGTAATGTAAATATCGGATATGCAGGATGTATTTAGGCGACCCCTGTGAAAGGTTGAGAACTGCTGCTGTAGAGGATGCTATGAAGTGAAATATATATGGTGGCAAGGACCTTATACAGGGCAAGGACCACACACACACACACACACACACACACACACACACACACACAAGACCAGAACTATATCTGCAAATGAAGAACTTCAGGCAGCCAACATGTGATGAATTCAAAGATGTCTCTCTTTGTATGGAGTATACGAGGCCCAATTCATCTCTTACACGCCATCCACTAAGCCTAGAATACCAACAAAGACAATACTTAAAAAGCAAGAGTCAAACATGACTGAAGTTAAGTTCACATGCATTTATGGGTCACATGGGATGCAACAGACTCAGTATCAAATACTGGGTAAAAAAAAAAAAAAAAAAGTTAACTACAAATAAGGGCACCAAATTCTAAATTTATAAAGTACAGAAACCAGATGGGCTTATGTTGTGCTTAGCCACAGGTAGGAGCTTAAGCAATTGTTAAAAAAGCAGAGAAGGTGGTGGTGATCTTTTCTCTTCAGACGGAATACCTGCAGGTTTCCACCCAGTTTTAGTCTTGTGCGTTTGTTTTTTTTTTTTACTCCTTTGAACCAGGTCTAGGGGGAAACCTAAGATGCACTTTTTTCTCTGAACCTTAAAAACTCAGCACCAGCCCTTCGCCAACCAAGAGTTACTCGAGGCTAGACTCGCTCCTTGCTAGAGATTCACCATACTCATTTACTTATTAAGCACCTGGAGTCGGAATACCTGCGCTCAAATCCGGACACCACCACTTCTTAGCTACTTATTAGCTGTGTGAACCCGGGCAAGGTAATTAACCTTCCTCAGCCTCCTCTTTAAAAGGGGGAATCGGGACACAGAGCACCCTCCTTGGGTTAGATTGATTGAGATAAACCATACAAAAGGCTTGCCCCGAGCCTCACCCCAAGAAGCCCTCAATAAACGTAATGATTATTTTCAGGGGATGAAAATGCCCCACGGCTGGGAGCAATGTACCTGAGGATTCTTGCAATAGGTTATCATTAAAGCCAAAGTCAAACACTAGGATTCTGAATGTCAACTGTAATTGAAAAAAAAAAAAAATTAAAAGCCAAAAAGTCAAAGGCTTTGGTGTCTGGACTTGTGGACACTATAAACAACAGGAATGACGATAATAACAGGGCAACACCAACCAGACTCATAACCTGTCACAGCGGCAGCAACGGGACCCCTGACGGACACCGTCCTCACCGAAACGGGCAGGCAAGGCTGCTGAATCCAAAAAAATAAAATTGCAGAATTTTTTCCACCCTCTTCTTTTAAAAAAAAAAAAAAATACGGTAATTGGTGCCCAAGTTTTGCTAAAAACAGACATCTCAAAAGACTGCGGATTTAACGTGTCATTTCTCCCTGCGGGAGGTGGGGCCGCGGAGGGAGGGGGGCCCGGCCGCAGGGAAAGGCCACGCGCGCGGAGGAGCAGCCGGGTCCGGGGCTCGTCCCCGAATTCAGATCCGGTGTCTGGAGCCCGCGAGGGGGCACGGAAGGCTCGGCCTTTGAAATAACCTGGAAACAAGTGTCATCTGCCTTCCGGCCAGTCCGCGCCCAGGCACAAGGTTCGGGTGCCGGAGCCGCGGTGCGATCCGGAAACCCTGGTCCCGCTTCCCAACCACCGTCTCCAAGAACCACAGTCCCACCCGGGGGGCCGGGGGACGGGGAACAGGGGGGGGACGGGACGGGGCAAGAGCCACCGCAGCCAGGCCGGGCTGTCCCGCCGGCCGGCGCCCGCCCCGGAGGCCACGGCCACGGTGCCCTCCGTCCGGCTCGCGGGCACCGGGCCCGAGGGCTGAGGAGGCTCGGGCGACCCGGCGGCGGCGCCCGGGGGCAACAGGTCCGGCCGGGCCCTGACCCCCACCCCCACCCCAGGGCCGAGCGCAGGGGAGAGGAGAGGGGCGCCCGGGGCGGCGCAGGGCGCGGAGTCCCAGCTCCATCTTGAGGCGGCGGAGGGAGGAAGGCGGGCTCGGCGCCACGGGGCCGGCCTCGGTCAGCCTCTCCCGGGACGCACCCCGGGACCGCGGGCCTCCAGGGCCGGCCCCGCCCTCGGAGCTCCCGGGCCCCTCAAGACGCGGGACGAGGCCGGCGGGGCGAGGGGAGGAGGGACGGGGAAGGGACCGGGCCCCACTCACCGCCGGCCGCCGCCTCTCTCGCCGCCAGTCGCCGCCACCTGCACCTCCGCAGCCGCAGCAGCAGCAGCCGCCGCTGCCTCCCGCCTCCCGGCTCGTCGGCGCGGGGCGGGGCGGGGCGGGGCGGGGCGGGGAGGGGAGGGGCGGGGCGAGCGTGACGCGCCGCCTGCACCAGACGCCAGGCGGCTCCTCCCCCGCGCGCCCCGCCCTCGGCCGCCCCGCGCCCCGGCCCCGCGGCCCCCGCCGCTTTGTCTGCACCCGCCGCGACCCACGGCCCCGGGGCGGGAGGAGGGCGCCAAGGACCCCGAGGGGCCTGCGCCCGCGCTGCTCGGCATGTCAGTTCCGCGCCGCACCCCACGCCCCATCCAGCCCGGACCGCAGCCGGTTCCTTGGCGGCTCGGCTTCCCCCTCCCCCTCCCCCTCCCTCTCCTCCCCGACCCTCCCCCACCACCGGCGAGAAATCCTTTGAAAGCATCGAGGAGAAGGTGCGCTCATCCTGCTCCGAGGAGGGAGCATCCCGTCTCCCTCCGGGAAAGATGAGGGTGAGGACGCCCCGGGGAACGGCTGGCAGGCGCTGCCCGCAGCCAGGGAAGCCCGAGGGCGGACAGTCCCTTGAAACGAGCCCAGCCCCCCCCCCCCCCCCGTCCCCTCCGGCTGGAGAAAGGCCCCTTTGATTCGCCCCGGCCGCCTGGACCGGAGCCCCGGTGAAGGTCCCGGCCCCTCCTCCCCGCAGGGAGCGCTTTTCAAAGCCTTGGAGGGCGCCCCGAGGGGTGACAGCCGCAGCCCGCGCCGGGCCGGTGCAGCAGAGGGCGGCCAGCATTTCACTCCCATGGACCATGGCAACCCCCGAAGCTCTGCGGCTCCCGGGAGGGAAGTGCAGCTGTCAGTCAGGATTGTGCAGCGGCTTCGTGGCGGAGAAGGGAGCCCGGCTTCCTCCTCCTGCCGCGTGGAAGGGAATCATCAGGAGGGTGACCCCTTTGCTGACCTTTATGCAAAGCACGGAGCTGCTGCCCGGAGCAGGGGGAGGGAACTACAGGGGAAAGGCACGAGATTCTGAACCTAGTAGGTTAATCCGGGGGCCCCTCACCTCCATTCACCTTTGAAATCCCCCAAACCGCTATTTCCTAATTCAACAACACCCTGGTTTGCAAGCTCCGAGTGGTGGTGGCAACCCCTGCGATCCAGTATCCATATTCCTCCTCTGAAAGGCACACCTCCCCCCACCCCCTCCCATCTAAACACTTTTCAGCTCTAATAGGCAACCCGAGTAATAATCATAGATGCCATGGCATAGAGTGAGGCAAGGACCACTGCTAACTAATGGCGGGTGCAGCTATAACCACTTCTGTTTAATTCTCTTCTGCTCTGCTTATTCAGCTAAACAGGTGCCTGCAGAGCTGGACCGGGAAAGAGGGCGGTGGGCAGATGAAATCTGAGCCTCAGAGCGTGAAGGAGTAGGTGACTGCCCCCTGGACCAACTACCCCAGACCTGCACACATCCCCCCAGACACATGCACCCCTGAATAACCATCTTCCAGAGGCTGCACAGGCAGGCCAGGGGAAGCGGGGGGTTCTGAGGGTAAGAGAAGCAGGATGGGCCCCACCAGCATGGGTCAGTGGTTGAAGGTTGACTTATGAACCAGGAAGTCACAGTTCGATTCCCATCAGGGCACATGCCCAGGTTGCGGACTTGATCCCCAGTGTGGGGCGTGCAGAGGCAGCCAGAAATTCTCTCTCATTGTTGATGTTTCTCACTCTCCCTCTCCCTTCCTTTCTGAAATCAATAAAAATATATTAACAACAAAATATATATATATTTTTGCCCTAACTGGTTTGGCTCAGTGGATAGAGTGTTGGCCTGCGAACTCAAGGGTCCCAGGTTCAATTCCGGTCAAGGGCATGTACCTTAGTTGCGGGCACATCCCCAGTAGGGGATGTGCAGAGGCAGCTGATCGGTGTTTCTCTTTCATCGATGTTTCTAACTCTCTATCCCTCTCCCTTCCTCTCTGTAAAAAATCAATTAAAAAAATATATATTTTAAAGCAAGGTGCCATTCAGTGTGCATAATATATAAAATGCTGGGTGTTTTTTTTTAAATAAGCAAAGGAGAATATATATATATATATACTAGAGCAGCGGTTGTGAGCTGATAGTCCGCAGACCACTGGTGTTCTGTGAGGTCCGAAATGTTGGCAACCGCTGGTTTAAGGAAACCTTTGGAGCAGCAGTCACCAACTGGTGGTCCGTGGACCACTGGTGGTCTGTGAGGTCCAAAAGGTTGGCAGTCGCTGTACTAGAGGCCCAGTGCATGGATTCGTGCACCAGTGGGGTCCCTCAGCCTGGCCTGCGCCCTCTTGCAAATCTGAAACTCGCAGTCTGACATCCCCCAAGGGATGTAGTAGTGCTCCAAGCGGCAGGCAGCCGGGGAGGAGCCCAAGCTTGCGCTGCCCCCGCTCATCCTGGCCTTGCTGCACCTGCATCTGCTCAATTACACTGCCCAGGAGGCGGGAGAAGCTCTGCTGCCACAGCTGCACTCACCAGCTGTGAGCCCCACTTCTGGCACCCTTGGGTCAGCTGAGCTGCGCCCCTGCTGTGGGAGCACACTGACCACCAGGGGGCAACTCCTGCATTGAGCGCCTGCCCCCTGGTGGTCAGTGCATGTCATAGCGATTGGTCGACTCATTCAGTTGCTTAGGCTTTTATATATATAGATGTATTTAATGGAAGTATTTATTTTAAGCCAAAATTAATGCTCTTTTCTTCTCTTGTCTTTCCTTATACCTGACTTTGACCCTAAACAATCCATTTGCTGTGCCTGGAAGATGGGAGCGAAAGTGAAGCCGAGTTGTTACCCAAGAACAACAAAGAAAAAAAAGGAATTCAGGTTTTGGCATTCAAAACAGGATCTTTGTAACAGCTTTATTGAGATGTGATTCACATACGCTATAATGTACCCATTAAAGTGTACAATTCAATGATTTAGGGTATATTACGTTATTAATGTTTTTGAATTGTGGTAAAAATACATATAATTTGCCATTTTAACCATTTTTAAGCATACATGAGTTGCTTTTCCAATGTTATGCAACCCAAAACAGAATTTTGCAGAGAAAAAAATAGGCTTTGTATTCCAGCATTGTCAAGAGAGAAAGGGTTATTAAAAGTTCCTTTAGCCCTAACCAGTTTGGCTCAGTGGATAGAGCATCAGCCTGCGGCCTGAAGGGTCCCGGGTTCAATTCCAGTCAAGGGCACATGCCCAGGTTGCAGGCTCAATTCCCAGTAGGGGGCATGTAGGAGGCAGCCGATCAATGATTTTCTCTCATTTAATGAATGAAGCTGCCCAGGCCAGGCCAGGGGAGGGGGGGTTCTGAGGGTAAGAGAAGCAGGATGGGCCCCACCAGCATGTGTCAGTGGTTGAACATTGACTTATGAACCAGGAGGTCTCAGTTCGCTTCCCATCAGGGCACATGCCCAGGTTGCGGACTTGATCCCCAGTGTGGATCAGAAGGCAGCCAAAGATTCTCTCTCATTCAATGATATTTCTAACTCTCCCTCTCCCTTCCTCTTTGAAATCAATAAAAATATATATTTTTTGCCCTAGCTGGTTTGGCTCAGTGGATAGAGCGTCAGCCTGTGGACTGAAGGTTCACTTGATCTTAGCCAAAAGGCCGAGAAGCGATGGACTGAAGGTTCAATTCCAGTCACGGGCACATGCCCAGGTTGCGGGCTCGATCCCTGGTGAGGGGCATGCAGGAGGCAGCCAATCAATGATCCTCTCTCATCATTGATGTTTCTATCTCTCTGCCCTCTCCCTTCCTCTCTGAAATCAATAAAACATATTAAAAAATATATATATATATATATATTTAAATGACAACCACCAAAACAGCAATAGCTGTCCAGTGTGAATGAATCAAAAAATTATACCTTAAAAAAAGAAAGTTCCTTTAGTTCCCATGTGTCCTACCAAGGGCCTGGAAGGCCATAGTTTCTGCTATGATGTACAGAAGAGTCTCCTGTCTAACATTTAAGACTTACCCGACTGGCGTGGCTCAGTGGTTGAGGGTTGACCTATGAACCAGGAGGTCACGGTTTGATTCCCAGTCAGGGCACATGCCCAGGTTGTGGGGTTGATCCCCAGTGTGGGGCATGCAGGAGGCAGTCTATTGGTGATTCTCTCTCATCACTGATGTTTCTATCTCTCTCCCTCTCCCTCCTTTCTCTGAAATCAATAAGATAAATAGATAGGTAGATAGATAGGTAGGTAGATAGATGATAGATAGATAGATAGATAGATAGATAGATAGATAGATAGATAGATAGATATAGAGATAAAAGTATAAAAGACTTAACCGGGAGATTGGAGATAGGGAAAAAGAAGATACAGCATAGAAGAAATAAGAGGATGTTGTACTTCCAGGCCTGGGAGTTGATGGGAAAAAAGGAAGAGAGACAAGTAAGGAAGGCAGAGCCACAGGTTGGGATCTGGGGCAGGGAAGAGGGTGGTTCCCAGAACAAGAGCATTTCCACATTCAAGAGTCTGGACGACAACCCTTAGGCAGGATGATGGCTCCATGCCAACTTGTATGCATGCGTATAAGCATAACCAATGGACGCAAGACACTGGAGGGGGCGGGGGGGGGGGGGGTCGTGCGGGGAAGGGAGGGAGGGCATGTGCCGGGAGTTAGGGAAGGCTGGGGGAAGGTCAATGGGGGGAAAAAGGGAGACATATGTACTACTATTTGTAATACTTTAAACTAAAAAAAAAAAAAAAGAACAGGGGTGCGGGGTGAGGGGTGGGGGGAGGTTATCATTAGGAAGATCCAGTTTGCGTTTCTAGGCCTGGGACACTGGGTGTCATGAAAGGCAGTTGAGAGCTTTGTGTGGCTGCTTTGGGACCCACAGTAGCAGCATGTGGTAGAGACTCGGGGGTGCCTGCTGCACCAGTGCGTGGGGAAAGGCTGCATCAGCAGGAGGAAGCACCGAGTCCTGACTGCACCAAGACAGAGCGTGTGTTAGGAGCAGACGCCAAGCAAACAATCAGTGGGCCCCAGAACCAGGACATCCGCCCATAGAGAGCTCAGCTGTGTCTGACACTGCTGATTGTCTACTCAAGATCCTTGCCTCCTTTTTACTTAAACCCAAATTATGTCTGACACAGCAATGTGCCAATAACTTATGCTCACTTACGCAGGCCTTACCTAGGGAAGTTGGCGTAGAGGCGCTCTGGGAAGGCTTTTCCTTCCCTGCTAAATGGACACAGACACAGACATAGATATGAGAGCTGGAGTTGAAGCAGCCATGTTGTTAACCTGAGGCCATGAGCATAAAGACAAAAGCCAGCCGGCCACGGTGGCAGAACGGAACAACTGAAAGAACAGGATTCCTCTCCTAGGAAGAGAGCTACTTATCTGGGGGCAAATATTTGATAAAAACCAAAATAGAACTACTTAGAACAATAAAATAAATATCTGAGGGCTAACAGACTGGTTAAAAAAGGAACTTCATGAAGAAAATAGAAACCGCCCTAGCTGGTTTGGCTCAGTGGATAGAGCGTCAGCCTGTGGACTGAAGGGTCCTGGGTTCGATTCCAGTCAAGGGCACATGCCAGGGTTGCAGGCTTGATCCCCAGTAGGGGGCGTGCTGGAGGCAGCCAGTCAATGATTCTTTCTCATCATTGATGTTTCCATCTCTCTCCTCCTCCCTTCCTCTATGAAATCAACAAAAATATATTAAAAAAATAAAATAGAAACGGCTACTGAACACTTGTATTGTTTTACTATATGTTGCCTGTGTTTTACTCCAGATTCTTGAGAAAATGTACCTTACTGGTTAATACTCTTTGTGAACTTGAATTTGCTTCTGGGAGATACCACATAGTTCTGAGTCCTGCTCCAAGGTAGAAGAGGTAGACTGTGTCTAATGCTTTATTCATATGGATAAGATTCAATTTGTGTCAATTTTTTAAAAATATTTTTATTGATTTCAGAGAACAAGGGAGAGGGAGAGAGAGATAGAAACATCAATGATGAGAGAGAATCATTGACTGGCTGCCTCCTGCACACCCACTACTGAGGGTCGAGCCCGCAACCCAGGCATGTGCCCTTGGTCAGATTCGAACCTGGGACCTTTCAGTCCGAAAGCTGACGCTCTATCCTCTGAACCAAACCGGCCAGGGCCAATTTGTGTCAACTTATAATTTTTTTGGTGTTAATCCTCACCTGAGGCTATTTTTCCATTGATTTATTTTTTATTTTATTTTATTTTATTTATTTTATTTTTTTTTAGGGAGAGAGAATGGGAAGGAGGGGTAAAGACAGAGAGAAAAAGAGAGAGAGAGAGAGAGAGAGAGAGAGAGAGAGAGAGAGAGAGAGAGAGAGGCATCAATGTAAGAGAGACACATCCATTGATTGCCTCCCATAGGTGCCCTGATCAGGGCCAGGGATTGAGCCTGAAACTGAGGTACATGCCCTTGACTGGAATCGAACCCTGGACCCTTCAGTCCGAGGGCCGACACTCTATCCACTCTATCCACTAAAACTGGCCAGGGATCAACTTTGAATTTTATCAGACTGATGTCTATTAGTTATCAACAATCAAGTGAGACAAAAACAAATATGACTTTGAACTTGAATGTGGTACTTTGGGCCAATCATAAGACAAACCACCCCTTGGAAGAGCAGTCTGTTATTATAGGCCAGATGGATAAGAGTTGAGTGTTTTAAAAATGTAGTGCACTAAAATTAGGTTGGTTTGTTAACATTACTGTTTGACACAGTTATCCCAGCAGTTTCTAATTTTAAACACTCTCTTATTCCACTTATTTTTTTTCCTATTCTGGAAGTTACCTATTTTTTATCTTAAATATTTCCAAAATAGGTGAGTTTCAAACCAATTTTAAATCATACTTGTTAGACTACACAGATTGCAGTAAGTGATTACATGATACATGAAAATGCTCAAAGAACCGGAGCCTTAACAATACATCGCTTGAAACACACATAATAGACTTAAAAGAAAAAAAACGCCATAATATCTTGTAGCTCATCCAAAGAGGAGGAATCTCTTTCCCCACCGCTGAATCTGAGCTGGTCTTTCTGACTTGCAAGATTATCAGTGGATAGCAATCGTTGTTCTTGTGGAACTTAAATTCTAGTGAGGGCGGGAAGGCAGACAATAAACAATAAACTAAGTAACTATGTAATAGTAGAAAGTACTATGGAAAAATGTAGATCAAGGGAGATTGGGAGTGATTGGGTGGCGTGTGTGTGTGTGTGTGTGTGTGTGTACTCTTAAATCAGGTGGTCAAGGTAGTGTCACTAGAAGGTGAAATTGAAGCACAGAACTGCAGGAGGTGAGGGTAAATGGATTTCAAGGGGAAAGTGGTTCAAGCAAGAAAACAGACAGAGCAGATGCCCCAAGGCAGGCATGAGATATCTCTGCTCTGGCCACTCTAATCAGAGGACCATCAGAGGAACCTGTAATGTGAAATTCTTCTTCTTCTTTTTTTTTTTTTGTAATGTGAGACTTTTAACTATGAGTCCATAGACCTTTGGGGCAGAATTTAGAAAAACTTAACCATTTCTTTCAAATATAAATGTAGGCAATACATTCTGTTCCTACCACATGCCTGCTATATCTGTCATGATCTTTTTTTTAAAAAAAGTATATGTTTATTGATTTTAGAGATGAAGAAAGAGAGCGAGAGAAACATCAGTGATGAGAGAGCCATTGATTGCCTGCCTCCAGCACACCCCACGCTGGGACTGAGCCCACAACCTGGGCATGTGCCCTGAACCTCCTGGTTCATAGGTCGATGCTCAGCCACTGAGCTACGCTGACAGGTCCTGTCCTGATCTTTGATTCCCTAAATCTGTGGTCGGTAAACTGCGTCTCGCGAGCCACATGCGGCTCTTTGGCCCCTTGAGTGTGGGGCCACGAAGTTTCAATCGCACTGTACGTGCGTGCCCGCACGTGG